CTGAAGGTCTGCTCTTCTGGCCTGGTTTGAAGCCATGACTGCAAGCAGCTGCATACTCGGGATTACTTGGGGCAAGGAGAATCTGCAAAGCTTTCCAAAGACATGACTTCTTAGAAATATTCAGAGATCCTCTGTCTGTCTTTTCTCCCTGTTGGTTGTGTTTGAGAAGCTAAAGCTGCTCTAGGCAGTTCTGAGGGGGACCACCCAGAAGTGAAATAATGGGACTGCTCCTGTTGCAGATCCCCGTTCCTGTGAAGGCCACGGAGCGGTCTCTTGAGCTGGCTGGTCGAGCTTGGCCTTGAAGGGCACTTCCTTCCCTCCTGCCAGCCGTGTGCTTGGGCTCTGCAATCCCCACTGCGTTGCCAAGCGGGGTGAAAGCAAGCACAAGGAACTCGCTGTTGCAGCTGTGCTGTAGAAGACCCCAATGGCAGAATGATGTGTGCTTGCTGCAAAGCGGGCGGTGCAGCCGGGTGGGGGTGGATGCCAAGGAACTAATCTGAAGTAATTAAAATGAGATGTATTTATAGAGCAGCCTGGGTGTTTTCATCTATCTCTGTTTTTCCATCAGAAACAAAACAGAACAGCGTACCAGATTCTTGCCCTTCAGCCGCGTTTCCTTACTGCACCAGATGAACACAGCAGTGTGCTGGGGAGAGGGTGGGCCTGCCGAGCCACCCCACCCGAGTAGGAAGCAGGCAGCACAAGTGCTTTTTTCCGCACGCCAGAGCTACGGTCCGTGTGGGCCCTTACTGCCTGTCTTCAGGGCAACATTTACTTTAATTTTCCACGCGCAGTCCACTGAAAGCTAATGGGTTTGTTCCAGAGGTGGTGGGGTACGCTCTGTACAGCAGCGGCTGGTAGAGGGTATGACTAAGTTTTTAGATTCTCGGTGCTGACAATGAAGTACCCATCTTGTCAGAAACCACGACCCAGGTACGGTCTTTGACCCGGTAAATCCTTAATCGCTGACCAGCAGAAGCTGGACAGCTGTGCCGGGGAAGGATCACACTCACCCACGCTCACCTTTCCCGTTCTTTGTCTGAGCCTTCGGTGCTTGTTGCAGGCAGAGGTGGGGTGCTGCACTGGAGCAACCTTTGATCAGACCCAGTGTGGTCATTCTCCGGATCCGGTGGAGCAGACGGCGCCTGCTCCCCGGCGCGCTTTAGCTGTCTGTCCCCAGCTGGTGCTGAACAGCTTGTCCTGCCTGCACTGCCCTCGGAGGACAACTCGGCGCTGGTTCAGCTGCAGTGCTGCTGACACCCCTCATCGATGGTAGGTAATTTTCAGTGTAGACAAGATGCCGGAGCCCAGGCCAAGTTTGTGGGGCTGTGAAATTTAAAAATTTCCTTTTTGTAGCAGGAGCCCATTGACCTGAACTCAGCGGGATGTGCTGGCGTGATCTGGGCACGTCGTGCTGGAGCTGTGGCTGGAGGCTGGTGACCAGGGTTCCTCTCTGCTGGTGACAGCAATGCTGCGGAGGAATTCCTGTGTGCCAGCACTTCTCTGCTGGAGAAGGGCGCCAGCAGCGCCTGTGCGGAGTCACTGACGTGCTGGGCTAATGCAATCTCTGATCCTTTCTGGAGACCATCAAACCCACAAGCGTTGAGGTGGTTTACATGAGCGAATGGGATGGCACAGTCTGCGGTGAGCACACCTGCCCCCCTCCCACCGGTGCTGCAGCAGCCTGGGGGCAGCGCAAGTTGGCTTCACGTGCCCTGCTCTCAGGTGCATGTTCTGACAGCCTGGGCTGAGTCCCCACCCGAGCTGTGAGGTTTGGGGGCAAAGGATGGACATGGCAGCCCTCGGGGACAGAAATGCTGGGGACGCAAAGAGCTGTCTTGGTGCCGCCATGCACTGTCTCGCTGGGGAACGTCTGACGGCGGCTGAAGAAGCCCAGCTCCCCCTGGCTGGCCCCCCCCACCCAAAGGCTGGTGCAGGCTGCGACATGCCACGTGCTGGGAGCCCCACAGCGTGTCCCGGCAGAGGCAGCGCGTGTGTCCCTGCAACTGGCACAGGCTCTGCTCAACCCAGGGCTCACTGTTTGGACGGGGGTCCTCCCTCTGTGTTTGCAGCCAGGAAAGTCTCTGCGGGAATCGTCTGCTACCAGTGTCTGCCCTGGGCTTGTTTCGATGTCCAAGATCTGCCTCTTCCTCCCTCTTCATGCCACCCACATTGATTCCTTCCCTCTCTGGTTGCTGTGCCCTCCCCTCTTGCTGCTTTCATAACCCTGCAGCAAGCTGTGTTTCTGTGCTGGCTGTTCTGTGCCTGATGGCATCTGTGTTTGATCCTGAATAACGAGCCTTTAGCAGGCAGGCCCGGGATGTTTGTATTTCTTGCTCTCCGTATGTATGATGCTGACCTCTCAGTATTGTGTTCTGAGTTGCATGTGCTGTATGTAACCTGGCTGTCCTTGAGTGAGTCTGTGTTCTTAATTAAATTTGCTCCCGTCTTAGGAAATGGCTGATGTGACATTAGATAAGCCTAAAACCAGCTTTTTTCTTTCCAAGGCGCTCCTGGCAGTGATTCACTGCTCTTTTTCAACTTCCTACTTAGTTGCTTACTTAGTGAGATGAGGAGGAAGAGTATATCCCCCCCTTCCAGAATGAACATGGTGTAAAATTCCTTTTTCCGCACCCACTCGACTGGCTACGAAAGGTCGCATCCAGCCGTGCCTGTGAGGTCCTTGTGGGACCTCCTCCCTGTGCCGGGCACTAAGGCAGCGCTGCAGCAGCAGCGGGGTGCTCGCAGACGCTGCTGTCTGCTGGCGATTGCCTGGAGCCGTGGGACAGGTCCTGGGGCTGGAAAAGTCGCTGCTGGCTGGTGCTGCCGCCCTGGAGGGAGCAGATGTTCCCTGGCTGTTCCCTCTGCGGGGCACGGTGGCAATTTTTACCTCATGGTGATGTAAGCTTCTGTCGGCAGGTAAAACAAAGCCTTTTAATTGTCCTCTGAAACTGGCTTCCTTATCTTTATTCAGTGCTTCATAGCATTTGGTGATGTAATCATGGGATTGGGACACCAGAGCGAGCCCAGAGATGCTGTGTGAGGCTGCTCTGGTGTGGAAGCCCTCGGGTGCTGGGTAGAGATGAAGGAGACATAATTAGGCTGCTCAGAGGGAGAGAGCGTGGCAGTCTCCAAACATGCCGTTCCTGTGAATGGGAGCGGTCATGCCTCTTCTCAGTGCTTCAGACAGAGAGCGAGAGCTGCAGGCACTCCCAGAGAAAAGCAAAGGGCAGGGGAGGCCTGTGTTCGTGTAGGAGTATGGCCGAAACCCACCTGGGCAGCTCCCTCGCCTGCTGCTTCTGTGCCTCTGCTGTGCTGCCCAGCGCTGCCTGCAGTAGGGGATCGCCCGCCCCATCGCTGCAGCGGGGCCGATCCCTTCTCATGGGGGTTTTGGCGTTACAGAGTTTAAAAACGCAAACCCCTCTGCGCTCCCAGGTGTACCATCACAGGCACAGTTCAGGCTCCTGCACCCGGAGGCGCTTTCAAGCCTGGCCATGCAGCCCCGCGGAGAGGCTCGCCCGCGGAGGGGGGGGTTCGGGGGGGGGGGGGGGGGCGCGG